AGATAGATAGATAGATAGATAGATAGATAGATAGATAGATAGACAGACAGATAGACAGATAGACAGATAGATAGATAGATGGGGTCCATCCAAATGAGGAAAAGGAAATCTCAAGCAAATGCTCTGTTTAGTGCTGTCCAGCAAGTTTTGTCAGTGTTTTAGGACTTCACATGGCTTGAAAGAATTTTGAGGTTTTATTTTTTTTATGAATTTTCGTCTTTGGTTGAAACATTTTGACTYCTGCCTAAAAGAAAATCAAAGTTTAGGGAAAAAGTTGACTAAGATTTTAAGGGGACATTAATGTAAAAGGGTAAACATGGCAAGGATTAACCTACAATCACCTTTTAATAAAATCAGAAKAAATCATTTTTATTGTCACAGTAACAATTTTATATGAGACCGAGAGAGGAATAATRAGGAAAACGTATTATCTTTAAGGATCCACATGTTGACATGTACTTCCCATTCCTTTCTTCATTTTTTTCACATCTACTTACCTAAATTTATTATTTCAATTAGCTGTTTCCTCCTCACCGTTCTCTTTCTTTTATTGAGATATTTGTTCACTAGATATGTATTTGACCAGCAGAGGTCTTTGACACCTCACAGTGTTGCGTTCATGGTGACAAGTTTTTACCTTTGCTTGTATTTACATCTTTGTTACAAAATAATTTGCAAATATTATGCATGCCTTGCCTTCTGTTCATGCTAAAACCATCAATGTCGACATAAAGGTGATGAAATCCAAGTTTGTTTWACTAATGTCTAATCATACAGTATTTCAGAGAATTACTTTGAGACCAGCTTGGTGGAAAACCACAAACATGAAAAGAGAACAGCTGGTTTACATTGCTCCTGTCAGGAGAAGTTGCAACCACAAAAGCAAGAGTGTGAAAATAGGAAGTTTGTTAAAGGTCAGGCAAGATGGTACAGTGCTTTTCAATTCACAGAGTTTCTTCTCACATCTTCTCCCAGGGAACGGCCTGTGTAACTGCGGCAACTGCGAGTGCTGGGAAGGATGGACAGGAAATGCTTGTGAGATCTGGGTGGGAGCAGAGTACTGAAGAGAGAAGAGCACTGGAGTCAGAAACCAGAGTTGCTTTCCTGACTGAATGACCCGGATCAGCACCACAACCATTTACAACCAGGCTGGCAACACCACCACAGAAAACTAAACAACATGGATGTAAATCTGCGTGTATTTAACTTGAAATATTTTATTGTTCTAGATGCAAACTTGGTATAAAAAATTAACAAATATCTTTTTTTTCTGCTCTAAACATATTCCAGTGTAAACATTTGTGCTTTTAAAGCTGCTTTTTATGTATTTCCACATATTTCTGATGACAACCAAGAATAGGATGCAAATACATGACAAATCCAAAAAGCTGTAAGAGATGAACATGTTCTGATTACAGAAGGTTTATGAAGACGTGCAGTATTGTGTTTTTAATTAATTATATTTGTTGCAGATTTATGAAGATGTGTTTTTAACCAATTATATTTGTTGCACTATCCCAGACTAGACGGAAATATGTCTTTAAAATTCAGGCCAGAGGTCTCTCTTTGAAATTTTTATTTCTTTTTTTCCTGTTTTTTCAATAATAAAACAATAAATGTACTGCATGACATAACATTTTGCATGAAAACCAACGCAAAGACCTTAAACATACATGGTTACAGATTTGCTATAACATGACATAACTCCAATGAGCATACGATGGAATATTATATATATATATTTGAAAATAAATTCATTTTATTCATTCCTATTATTCTTCAGCAAACAAAGTAAATGGAAAAAGAATCAAATCAAACTATCCGCCATCTTCTGGTAGTGATAGGATTAAAGTGGAAGAAACAAAAACGAGGGCATAAATATTTCACTTGTGGCATACCGGATGTCCATATCACTTCAAACGATGGTGTCAGGGGATGACAGCTGCTTCCCCACTTCAACAGAAGATCTATAGGAGGTCACAAAGAATTATTTTTGTTAATTCTACTTTGGCTTTTTCCATGCTTAAACAAGCCAGCCCCTCTGTTATCTGTGTCCCATCAAAAAACGTCTAATGCAGTAATATACTGCACACTATATTGCATTGAGTATTAAGTTACTGACATTACAGTACGCCTTTATATAAATATTTTATTTAGTATGTTGTATATGTGAATACAACAAACACAAACTGTATAGTGTAGACAAACTCATTGCATATATGTAAAAGTAGCGGTACATACCAACAGTTCTTGAAAGACATAGCCTACTACATGCAGTTCATCAATGCCATCCTCTCCCCATGCAACATGTGGGACATTTTACAAAAAAAAAAAGTTGATAACTAAAGCAACAAAGTATAAATATGTATGAGGGTCATTTGGAAAAAAAATCATGTAATATTTTTGTTTGTTTCCCAGTTTGACAAAATGTTAAACTAAGCCATCACTAGCGCTAATATTTAAAATGGCCATAAGTTCTGTAGCAACTTCATATTACAAAGATGTGTGTGGAGGGATATGAGCCCCACAAAAAATAAATAAATAAATTTAATAAATAACTAAATAACTAAATAAAAAGTTGCCAAGCAAATGCAGGTCAGTAAAAGTGGAAAACAACTTTTAGAATTAAAGGCACTAAAGGACAGGAAATGGTTCTGCAGAGGCAAAAACACAAGTTTTAGAATTAAAGGCACTAAAGGACAGGAAATGGTTCTGCAGAGGCAAAAACACAAGTTTTAAATACAAGCACAAATAAACTTAACAGGAGTTAACAGCAAATTGAAACTCAAACTTACTCAAATGTMCAAAATAAACTGTGCTTCAGGTTTCAGTTTGAATCTAAAAGGTTCTACAAAACTGTGAGAAAAATAGGTTTTAATAATAAATAAGTTTACTAGAGCTGAACGCAAACTATAAATAACTTCTCAAATTTTTTGAGTGATTTAGGCTGCAAGAAGAATTTTACTGGAGAACAATATTAGTGTTGAGACTCTTATTGTGAAGGACTAAAAAAAGTTCTGTGTTCAGCTGCTGTGACAGTAATCAACCACACCTCAGACCTTGTGTTGTAATTTTGTGGAGTACCCAATAGAAGTGCACCAATAACTTGAATGCAAATAATAATAATAATAACAATAATAA